TTAAATAATCCCATTTCTCTTGGACTCCATTTAAATTGCTCCAATCTGATAATGACTCCTCTACCCATATTCTAATTTTAGAAAAGTCTGTTTTTCTAAAGTCTAAAACTTTTGTTTTTGTGTGGTGTGACTCAGTCACTGTTCTTATATTAAACCACACTGACTGATGATCACTGGATCCTAAACTTTCACCTACAGTAATATCTGATACCAAATCTCCATTTGTTAACACTAAATCTAGTATGGCCTCTTTACGAGTTGGCTCCTCAACAAGTTGTTTTAGAGACAATCCCAGTAGGGAGTTTAGAATTTGTGTGCTCCTGGCACAAGTAGCTAATTTTGTTTTCCAATTTACATCAGGAAGATTAAAGTCACCCATGATGATAACTTCCCCCTTCATTGTCATTTTAGCTATTTCCTCAACTAGTAGATTATCTAACTCTTCAATTTGTCCTGGGGGCCTATAAATCACACCTACACGAGTTACTGTGTGATTACCAAATTCTAACGTAGCCCAAACGGACTCTATGTTTGCCTCACTAACTTGTATTAGGCTAGATTTTATGCTATCCTTCACATACAAGGCCACCCCTCCCCCTTTCTTGCCTTCCCTAAAAAGTGTCAAAATCATCCGATAAGAGATCTCCTAGTACGTGTAGGCTTTTGTTACCTACTATTATTCATTTATTTCTTTTAGCTTTGATGGGGGCTTTCTTTTACTAGTAGAGATCTCCTGCCTGTCTGTTTTTATCCCTTTTCTATCCATCTGTTTCCACTCCTTAGGGTCAGTTTATTCTGCCCACCACCCATAAGGTATAATATATGCCTGGAGTGTCTGCTTTCTCAAATGGAAGGCCTTTATTGGGGTTATTTGAACAGTCAAATGGCTATAATGCCACAAAATCAGACATATGACCATATATGAAAATTCCAACTATAGAAACTGAAGTAGTGTAACCGCTGGTGGTTCCCTTATTTACCACTATAATTTCTTAAAGCATAGAACTTATATCCACAACTGCATTTTGCTTTGTGATAACAAATTGAAAGCCTGGCATTGTAATACGTGTATGGACATGCTTATAACAAAGCATGGGTCCTCTATTCATGTAGTTGGTCTGTAACAGGCACTTTGATGCAATGTGTCTACCAACGCTTTTTTGGTCACTGGATCACATCGCATACCCTATCTCTCTGTCATGATGCAGAGTTTATGCTTGCAAGGATACCCAGACCTTATCCACCTGGTATCCGCATAAATACTCCTATCGTTTAGAGAGGTTAATTACATAATAACCATTGAAGGTAATATGTTGGTTGTTCTTCCTATAGAGGAAAGATAGACTTGCCCAAAAGCTTTTTCATGGCTAGGACAAGCTCTTATAGAGAGAGATAATGTACTTCTGTCTCCTGAAAAGGAATATTGGTGGTCACAATATGGGAAATACTGTAATTCATGTGTTTAGTAATCATAAGCATTTGCTTATTGCCACATTACTGATGTACTGTTTATTGAAATATTAATATCTAACATACTTTTTGAATTACTATATATTGGAAGTGTGCCAACATCTCATGGTTATAAATATGTTTTTGTATGTGTTAATGCATGTACCAGGTTTACTTGGATATATCCTGTGCGAAGTGCAACCTCTGATACCACGTTTTCTAGTCTCACTTCCTTAGTATGCATTTGATAATCCCAGGACCATCCATTTGGATGGTGGTCCTGCACTTACTGCAAAGGAAACCTGAAACTGGGCAACCACATTTGGGTTACTTTGGGATTTCAGTGCCCCAACCACCCCCAAAGAAGTGGGGTTGTGGTCTGGGAAAATGCTGAGGTTAAATGATTATTAACCAAGTTACTAGTTGCTTGCCCCACACAGTGGTATCTATTTATTCCTATGGTACAGATAAGAATTCACAACATACCTGATGATACAAATGGTGAGACGCCATATGAAATGTTACATGTTTTTTCACTGACAAACATATTTCTGCACCAGGGAGAGCTTAGAACCATTGGTTCTATTAGAGAAATTTAGGGAATTTTTTTTTCCAGCCCACCTCGCCTTGCACCACCAACTTTTTCTTACTGTTGGCCAGTTCGTCCTGGAGAGGGTGACTCAGATAACTTTTACTACAGAGAACAATCAGACCCAACAGAGAACATTAAGTTTTGATATTTTACAACCTGCTTAATACTTCCAAGACGTTCACAGAACCACTGACTGACACAGTGGATGCTGTTAAAGATGGCAAGATAAAACAAACAGAGGACGACAGAAAAGCCACCAGAATCACAGCCACGTAACAGACTGAATCATGATCTGACATCTGAACCTGCAAATGTGAAGGAGAAGGATGAACAGACAGACGTGATACATTCACAGTTAACATGGAATGTATGAAAAATGAATCATCAACATCATTATAAGAAAGACTCTGGAGAAAACAGACTGAACCTGAATTATCTTATACAGTAAGAAAGAAATTCAAAGATGGAAGCAAAAGGATGCTAGAAAATTGGAGTCTCCTTCTTACAGTCTGTAGCATTATCATAATGTCAACCCTAACTGCATTGGGATTATGTTAACAAGCAGGAAGCACCTGAACTGAATTGGACTGTACACTATACAAGTTCTGTGATCGTGAGGACTACCTCCAAGAACCATCTCGAAAGGAGAGACACAGCTCACAGTGAAATTATTGCCTACACTGGTATTTCACAAGGAACCTATTGAGATCATTCCAAAAAAAACGATTATACATGAGAAAGATGTGATTGGACAATTACAAATCCTAATAATGGAATCAACAATGATGGCAAAGCATGCTGAAAACAGAAAAAGACGGGAAAGATGCTTTGGATGCACCTATGAAGGTGATGCAAGAAAAGACTTTGCCATATAGTTTATCATTGAATGACTACCGCAAACAGCCTTCTTATGCTGAAAAGAAGTGCTATACTAATTTTGGACATTGCTATTATCCAAACAGATGATAACCGGAAAAAGAAATAAAGGCTGATAACTGTCAACACCCAGCTATTTCTTAAGATGGATCATGGTACTGAGAAAACCTGATTGACTATCAAAGCACCTCACAGTACAAGACACAGATTGTTGCCTACAACTCAGAAAAAGTGGTTTATAGGAAGGAGCAGAAGAAGAGGAATATAGATTTCCTACTGGAGTGAAAAACCATCCTGGAACAATATTCTGTAACAATGAACTTTACAATGACATTTGGTGGCATATGAATTTGAATTAGGTAGAAACACATCAATTAACTAAAGAAACCTTGATGCAATTAATAAATAATAACAATACCGGCTTACTAAGAGCAGATGCCCTGCCAAGAGAATGGAATATAAAAAGACCAACAAAATCTTTCAGAAACCTGACATCACGGGACACTTGTACTAAAGCACGATTTGCAGCTTTTCTTAAACTCTACATATTATATACATACCTGCAAAGCAAGGACCTCCTGTAAACATAAACACAGAGACATTTATACAACAAGGAATCTGTAATGGTTCTGTTGCAGATGTGATCTACCGTTGTACTCCTTGCTCTTTTTGTATAACTATACCAATCAAAACATTAAATGGCTCTCTAGGACCATAGACCAAGGATTCTTGCTATATTCTGGACTTCCAGGAATGTGGTGCATGGACAGAAAAATTATAACTATGCTATTTTTTTCCCTGTATCAGAAATGTGTCAGTGACAATATGTAATATAATACAGATACTATAATTAATGGTATAAGAAACACAATGTGTTAATTACAAAGGTGGATAGACTTTGGAATATCTGAAATGCAATTGAAGATTATTGCTAAAATGCCATATGCAGCTGCAGTCTGGCCTACAAACAAATATATTAAACTTACGTATAAGAGCATACTAGCTTATTACCCAGATGAATAATTGAATCATGATAGTTAAAGATCATATGATTGCAATAACAACTGCAATCATGAATAATGTTTAAACTTTAGAAGAAAATGTAAAATGTTTTTATTAAATCAGAAACTACTTGATATTCGTTTAAGTTTGCAGAGTGGTATAATTAATATAAGTGAAGTACTTCAGTAGTTAAAATTGAACTGAAAGACAGGCAGAAACTTTACTTCAACTATCATAAAGTTTATTTATAATGATAAAAATATTCAGTCTGCCAGAGCCAAGGCCAGTCAATGGAAAGTAAAAGAGTATTAGGGATTAACCCATCCAGGTGATATACATGATGATTTTGGAAATTGATCATTTAGGTCACCTATTGCAAACTGGTGAAAAGATGTCAAAGATATAAATTCATCATCCATACCACTCTATGTATATATATTAAAATACACGTAATGAAATATTTTATCAGTTTTTCAAATACAAAGAAAATGTTATTTGGTTTGTAATGGTTAAAGGTACATAAAACCACTTATACAAAGGTAGAGTTAAAATATAAATACATTCAATATTGTAGCGGAGTGCTTTCTTAACTCACTTTTAGAAATAATAATACATTCTAATCATCTTAAGCTACATCCAACAGCCACTGAAAAATATACTTAAACAATTAAGATTCTCATTGTTGAGCATCCAATCTCACGAATGTAACTTTCCACAATGGCTGTCAGATCTTGGTTAAAAAAAAAAAAAATGGTTTGAAGACAATTTTGGGGTGTTTCTGGTATTTTAAGCCACTAATAACTGTAGTTATTATATTTACTAATTATAACTTAGGGAATAAGTTGTCTTCTCCCTAACAGGACAAAGAAAGATGAATAATGTCATATTTCCAATTAGCAACTATTTTAAATATATTGAGAGATTTTGAATAAAGGAGTATTTTTAACATTTAAAGAGAATGTAATTTTACATACCATTGTGAACAAAGGTGGTAAATACTTTGCTGCTTCAAATTATCCTTATATATCTAAATCATATACAATGGTTTTTATCTTTAAAACAAAAACACTAGAAAGATTAACTATGTTACTATTTCATCTATCATTATTATACAAAGTATAACAAATGTAAAGATTTTTCCACAGATTTTACCTGTTAACATTTTTAGCACAACAGCACCTGATGTCAGTGAGATGTCTATCACTGAGATTTTACAAAGATTCCAATACAGCAAAAAGAGGCGTTCTTGAGAATCCTCTTCGATTGCTGTATCAACATAACATTTACTATAATGGGATCCATGTCACTTAAGACAATGTCTTGGAAATGCTGTCAATTAATTTATTCTGTAAAAGAATATCAGAGAGTATCCAATCTAAACACATCATAAATGGTGTAAAAAAATGTTTCATGAAAAAAACAAAATAAAAAAAGACAAAGACAAATACCAACGCCATCACCACAGTGATAACAGATGATGCTGATCAATATCCACAACCAATTCTAGCCAAATATTTGGAAAGCTGGACTCTACAACCTATACTCTACAACAAATACCCGGGTATTCTACAAACACAACCTCCAGCAATGTATCTAAGGAATGTAAACTTCTACAGGCCTTTAAAGACTTTGGATTACAAATACAATTACTATTTTTAACTTTGGATTACAATTCGTATCCGGATCTATCCAAGAATATCTTACTCTGGAACTTGGTGTTCTTTTCAATTCTTTCCCAGACAAAAGCTTTGCTCATTTTAATCAACCACCTTTACAGGTAAAGATCACACTACGGATATTTTACTGTTACAACAATGATCTAAGATGCTGGGAGCATAAAAAACCTAAAGACAGTTGGAGAACTTTGGTTTACTAATTTAAGGAAGAAATGTGCTACAATGCCCACAGTTTAATGGAGAGGGTGTTACGGGCAAATGCAAATATTACAAGTTTTAGAATGAAATGTTGTATTTCTTAAACTGTGTACTTTGTCTTTAAGAGATATTGCAAACTGACAAGGTGTTAGAAATGGAACATATTGTTTTTCATAGATGTTTCTTTAAGCAATAACCTCAGTGCATAATATGTTTGCGCCATTTTGTCCCAGACGAATTACAATAACAATAATGCATAAACAAGCTTCAAGGCTATTCTACGACACTTGCAGTACACAATATACTGTGGTAACCCCAAGTTAATGGAACTTCCCCAAATCCTGGAATCTCCCACGACTGTACACAGGGCCGGCCTTAGGGGTGTGCGAGCTGTGCGGCCGCACAGGGCGCCATGGCAACAGGGGCGCCGGGCGGCTGACACAGCTCGCACTCAGTCACTCACAGTTCGGCCTGAGTCATGTACAGAGCAAGTCAAGTGCATAATGCTGTGCACTTGACTTGCAAATTATGAGCGGCCGGGAGAGAAAGTAGGTCAGGAGCACGGAGGAAGAGCGTGCTCCGCCTCCACAGTCATTCGCGGAAGGATCCGCACAGTCAGTTTGAGGGAGGTGGTCAGTGCTTTGGTATCAAGGTCGGCAAACTGGGACACTGTCAGGAGGGTCCAGGGAGCAGCAAGCTTCAATGTGAGTCTGCTCATTCTTGTTATAACTATTGCATTTTTTTATTAAATAGATTTTTTTTTTGTTTTTTTAAGGGTGGCAGGTGTTTTTGTGTGTGGGGGGGTTTGTAGAAGGGGGAGCAGAGGTTTTCTAGCTGGGATTTTGGGACAGGGGTTTTGGTTTAGGGAGGAGCAGAGGTTTTATAGAAGGGGTTAGGGGTTTTGTAAAATAGGGGGTAGAGGTTTTGGTGTAGGGGAGAGGTTTTGTAGAAGAGGGGGCAAGCATTTCTGGTGAAGTGGCAGAGGAAAGGATTTTGTGGAGGGGGCATGGGTTTTGTTCAAGAGGGGGCAGGGGGTTTGTAGAGGGGGCAGGAGTTTAGTATAAGGGAGGCAGGAGTTTAGTATAAGTGGGCAGAAGTTTAGTATAAGGGGGGCAGGGGTTTAGTATAAGGGGAGCAGAGGTTTTGTAGAAGGGCGCAGGGGTTTAGTATAAGGGGAGCAGGGGTTTAGTATAAGGGAGCCGTGGTTTAGTATAAGGGGGGCAGGGGTTTAGTATAAGGGAGCAGGAGTTTAGTATAAGGGGGACTGGGGTTTAGTATAAGGGGAGCAGGGGTTTAGTATAAGGGGGGCAGGAGTTTAGTATTAGGGGGTCAGGGGTTTAGTATAAGGGGGCAGGGGTTTAGTATAAGGGGGCAGGAGTTTAGTTTAAGGGGGCAGGGGTTTAGTATAAGGGAGCAGGGGTTTAGTATAAGGGGAGCAGGTGTTTAGTATAAGGAGAGCAGAGGTTTAGTATAAGGAGAGCAGAGGTTTATGTAGAAGGGGAGCAGGGGTTTAGTATAAAGGAGCAGGGGTTTAGTATAAGGGGAGCAGGGGTTTAGTATAAGGGGAGCAGGAGTTTAGTATAAGGGAGCAGGGGTTTAGTATACGGGGAGCAGGAGTTTAGTATAAGGGGAGCAGGGGTTTAGTATAAGGAGAGCAGAGGTTTAGTATAAGGAGAGCAGAGGTTTATGTAGAAGGGGAGCAGGGGTTTAGTATAAAGGAGCAGGGGTTTAGTATAAGGGGAGCAGGAGTTTAGTATAAGGAAGCAGGAGTTTAGTTTAAGGGGCAGGGGTTTAGTATAAGGGGAGCATGGGCTTACTATAAGGGGGAAGAGGTTTAGTATAAGGGAGCAGGGGTTTAGTATAAGGGGAGCAGAGGTTTATATAGAAGGGGAGCAGGGGTTTAGTATAAGGGGAGCAGAGGTTTAAATAGAAGGGGAGCAGAGGTTTAGTATAAGGGAGCAGAGGCTTATGTAGAAGGGGAGCAGGGGTTTAGTATAAAGGAGCAGGGGTTTAGTATAAGGGGAGCAGAGGTTTATGTAGAAGGAGAGCAGAGGTTAATGTAGAATGAGTGCAGGGCTTTTGTAGAGGGTGGCAGTGGTTTTGGTGGAGGGGAAGGTTTTTAGTGATATGTGTACATTACTGTATAGTAGATATATATAATGACAGCATGTGTTTTGTTAAAGGAGGAGAAGGAATTTTGTAGAACGGTGGGCAGGGCTTTTATTAAAGGGGGAGCAGGGGTTTTGTAGAAGGGGCAGGGGTTTTATTAAAGGGAGGCAGAGTTTTTGTAGAAAGGGGGGCAGGGGTTTTGTGGAAGGGTTTTGTAGTAGGCGGAACAGGGCTATTGTTGAAGGGGCAAGGGTTTTGCTGCAGGGGGGGCACCACGTGTTGGGTTCGCACAGGGCGCCTGATTACCTAAGGCCGGCCCTGACTGTACACTTACGACTTAGTATAAACAACAGATAACCTATTCAGACTTTAAGATGCCATCTTGAACTAAGTCAGGAAAATTTCCATGACGTATACACCCTTTAATTATGGACTTGTATGTTTGCCTAAATTGAATAAAGTAAAAGAAGTGTTACTTTTTCATATTTGAACTACAGTAACCTAAAATGGAGACACCTAAGGTATAAATAGGTGTACTTTTAAATGTTAAGACACAGAGGAGAGACTTGGAGACAGACGCTGCTCCATCTTAAAATGACAGAGAGGCTGACATGATGACATGTTCAGAAGGGTATGTTAACCTATTAATGATATTTGCAAGCATGTAATTTAAATCTTATAAACTCTGCTATAATGGATTTTATATTTCTTGACATAAGTACTTAACATAGAAACACAGAAGCATAGAATGTAACGGCAGATAAGAAACCATTCGGCCCATCTAGTCTGCCCAATTTTCTAAATACTTTCATTAGTCCCTAGTCTTATCTTATAGTTAGGATAGCCTTATGCCTATCCCACGCATGCTTAAACTCCTTTACTGTGTTAACCTCTACCACTTCAGCTGGAAGGCTATTCCATGCATCCACTACCCTCTCAGTAAAGTAATACTTCCTGATATTATTTTTAAACCTTTGTCCCTACTTGTACTTAAATCTGCTTAACAAAGCTGTTTATATTGTGACTGTTTATATATTTTTATTATTATTATTTTATTTATTTTTTAACATTGCTTGAATTTTTTTAAAGATACCTGCATATTTAATTAAATATCCTTTATATGTCTTTAAGGCATAAAATGTCTGCAAATTAAGATTATATACAAAAATGCATGTTCTGGGTGTTCCCGTGATTCCTTTTCTATCATTTATTTATTTAAAAAAAAATTTAAGTCTGGAATCTGATTTCTTTTGGGATGAGCACCCCTCTGAGCCCCCCAATTTCAGAGGCTTCTTTTGAGGTGACCACAAAAAAGTATAGATTCTATAAAATAGATGTGAGGGGGCTTTGGACAGTAATGTCACTTTAATTATACTTTTTATATAGCAAATATGTGATATGCAATGTGTTTTAATATATCAGAGTATTATCACTTTAATTGACACTGCATTTTTTTATGCATTATTCTTTATGCATTATTATTTTTCTTTTCTTTTTTTTAATTTTAATGTCTGTTTAGAATATTGCAGGCTTTGCAATATCAAATTAATTTTGCATTATATATATTCACAATGCTCTTACACATATTATTAAAATTAGCCTCTTTCAGAATTGTAGAATATGTGGTGGAACTGAATCCCCATATATGAGATTTAAAACTGTATTTTTATTTCTACTCTGTGCCCTAATCAGTATTTATATACATAATTGCAGCAGCATATAGCTTTTAAAGAAGCAATTATTTCACCCTTCATGTGTGGTTGACTGTGGACTTTTTAAAACCTACTCTTTATATTTATTTATTTTAATCCGTTTCTGGCTCTGAGAGAGCAGGCTGCTGAATGCATGTAAATGCTGTTATTGCCTAGTCTACATACTTTTATTTATAAACAACATTGATATATTGATATATAAACAACTTTGATATTTAATCTTATTTTATGAAAACCTAGTTTATGAAATTCACTGAGATTACATGTGTCTGATCTGATTACAGTCAGTAGTATAATATAATTGTTCTAATTTCCTTACTGCTAGCACGGTGGGATAGTACCAATGATTTAAGTAAGCTTTCCCTTTTAAAATTGGTGGACTTTGGCGGGGCCTAGCATCCAAACGGAACGGTTGTGCTGCACCTCGGCTCCTGCTCAAAACGACACAAATTGGGGAATTAACCCCCCAAAAACGGCACAAGAGCATGCAGGAGAGGAGCCATTAAGTAGGGAACACCCGGGTGAACCCTTGGGTGCCAAACTCAAACGTGTAACCCACCGAGACCCTGCATTACCACCCGAGGCCTACCAGAGATCGGGCAGTGGAGAGACGGCCGCTCACCACGCTGCAGACCTGAGTATGGACCTCCAGGGGTTCCCAACTCCTACCCCCCCCCCTTTGGACCGATGGGGGTCATCTCGGTCCATCATGGGCAACCAGAGAGACAGACGCCGCCTGAAACCGCAGATCACAGAAAAGCAACAGAAGGGCTACCAAGCACATGGCCTGCATAAGATGGCGGCGACAAGTATGAGAAACCACACACAAGGGACAGAGAACTGCAGCGACACTCAGCAGCGCCTGGATGCAGCCTTTGACCAATTCTGGACAAAGCTCTTAGACCTGATGCAAATGCCTCAGGTAAAACCGCAAGCACCGCCACCCCAGGGCGTGCGGAACCAAGGGCATGGGGAGCAGAAAGACACACCTTTGAAATACACAAGAACGAAAGGGCGGCATGTAGGTGAGCCACAACACGCACCACCTGACGCCATACACCCCAAGCAATACTCAGCCTCACTGAGAACCCACACCCATAAGCGCTCCAGACAAACTTCCCGGGTCCCCTACCCGCATAACAGCAATGGATGCCCGACCGCACAAAAACAAGCTCCCTATCCAGGTGCCTGGAGAACATGGCGCCTACGCAAATCTGCCTACTCACCTCACCATGGCCTCACCACAACTCGACCGGGCAGAGACCGACCCCTTGCGACTAACTCGCCATGGAGGAAGAAACACGCACCACAGAGCCAACCACAGGCACCGAAAGGACCCAGGGGCTCAGACCCGAGCCGGAGATTAAAATACCTGACGCCGGTGCATCGATGCAGAGAACTCCGGGTCTGGCAGCACACACGCTCTCTTAAAGGAGCACCCTCGGCCTGGAGCGGCGGCCTGCCAGCCGCGGGCATCGGCTGACCAACTTACAATACAGACTGGCAGGGACTCACTATGGCTCAACAGTCAGTCAGTCAACCTGTAAAACTAGCTAAAAAGGAGTCAATATAATCTAAGGGCCTGAGACTCTTAGGCTAGATATGTATGCATTGTTTCATTCAGTAAAGGAAGCAGCCTAGAACTTAGATATGTTTAAGTCATGTTAAAGTTTGCATGTTTCAACTGGTCAGTGGTACACTTAAGCATCTCAGCATGTTATTCAAAGCTGCTAACTGCTTGACATATGCCCTCTCTGACCAACCCCTGATGTTATCTTTTGTGAGACAGCGATAGTGCAGTTTCATTGGTGGAGTTTAAGCTGTATGTGTTCATCAGTATGCATAACACGTAGGCCAATGTAAACAACGTTAGGCATTGATTAATCTATTTTATCTTCTTCTAGTTAATCATATTTTGACAACATAACCATTTAGTTCAGCACGATATAAAATATAAAAATGTGCAGATTACTATGCCACTACCAAACTACTGTCAATCTTGCAATACGCTGTTGTGGCGTTCGTTGATATCCTGTAATCACCCGCACAACCAAAATAAAGAATTTAAAAAAAAAAAAAAAAAATTGGTGGACTTTACTGCCATTGCAATAGACTAAAGACTGTACCTAAGTAAGCAAAGTCATTATGTGCAGGAATTGTGCACTTTAAATAGTAGAATACTTATGCTATTCTAGTGTATTGGGCTGGCTGCTTAACACATCATTTAATATCTTTTGGTCACATTTAAAGCTGTAAATGTATTTAAAATTTTATTTAAATAAGCCTTTAATAATTTCAGTTTAAAAGTTATTAGAGATCCTGTATAGTTACAATTTTATTTTGCCCTGATTTATCTTACATATATATTATTTTTAATCATTTTATCAATATTTATTTTCGCAGAGCATTTAGAGAAGCAAAGGATGTATAACCACCTGTTGCCCTTTTTTATAGGAGGGTAGTATAATTTCAACTCTGTTTAGGAAAAAATATGAGCTAGTTAGCATATGTTATATAAAATATATGCTGCAGTGTACTGCATTGAATGTATTTAAAAGCCATGTATTTTTCTTTATGGCTGTATGTAATAATGTTGTTCATAATTTGGAATATAAAACAACAACTTCTCAATTCCTTGGAATGTTTACATGTCTCTATCTCCGCAACCTTGGCTATAAATTCCAGACTCCAAAAATAGTTATGCTGTTATAATTCCTGATTTTCAATCAACAGCTAGCCTAACTGACAATATGGAAAATATCACTGTTTTCTAAAACCTTTCTTATATAGTGGACATTAGAATCCAGAACGCAGTAATGCAATAATTAAAAATCCTGTCTGTCTGTTGCATGAATGTTTTCATTAAGCCATAATGCAATTTTCTTTGCATTCTTGGAATTAGACTTCAAATTTCATCGCTCTGTCTTATCACTTTTCTTTTCACAACATTTTGCATTAATCTTTTTCCTGCGCATGCATACTAAGCAGCTACAAAGAGAACATATCCCCTTGTCTGCAATCCACTGTCCTGGAACTAATGGACCATGCTATGTTGGTGTATTAGGCATATCAGGGAGTTTACCAAATATGTATATTTGTTCTATTATGATATTAGTTAAGATCCACAATTTCAGCATTGTATGCTAATTACGTTGTACCTGGCACCTGAACTCACAGTGCCTTGTTCACATTAAAATCATCTCTAATGATGAAGATCTCTCTCTGAGTCTGGGCTACACATAGCTCAATAGATTCTTGATATTTCAAGACTTGTGCCATGACAAAGTACTGTGTCTTCTCTTACATATAAGAGGTTACCTAGGTATTTATTTTATATTTAAAGCTTCCAAGTACAAGGTCCCTTTGTGGTCGCCAATTGTAACCGCTGGTGGTTCCCTTATTTACCACTATAATGTCTTAAAGCATAGAACTTAGTAGGGCTAACCATACAGATATCTTAGCCATAATTTTATATAGTGTAAGAGATCCTCTATTTAACATATATAAATAATTGAGAATACAATATAAAATAAGGATTGTCTTGGAAGCAAGATTGTCTTTTTGGATATTTATTATATAAAAATATAAAATCCATTATAGCAGAGTTTATAAGATTTAAATTACATGCTTGCAAATATCATTAATAGGTTAACATACCCTTCTGAACATGTCATCATGTCAGCCTCTCTGTCATTTTAAGATGGAGCAGCGTCTGTCTCCAAGTCTCTCCTCTGTGTCTTAACATTTAAAAGTACACCTATTTATACCTTAGGTGTCTCCATTTTAGGTTACTGTAGTTCAAATATGAAAAAGTAACACTTCTTTTACTTTATTCAATTTAGGACCTCCCTTAATTTGGCAAACATACAAGGCCATAACTAAAGGGTGTATACGTCATGGAAATTTTCCTGACTTAGTTCAAGATGGCATCTTAAAGTCTGAATAGGTTATCTGTTGTTTATACTAAGTCGTAAGTGTACAGTCGTGGGAGATTCCAGGATTTGGGGAAGTTCCATTAACTTGGGGTTACCACAGTATATTGTGTACTGCAAGTGTCATAGAATAGCCTTGAAGCTTGTTTATGCATTATTGTTATTGTAATTCGTCTGGGACAAAATGGCGCATACATATTATGCACTGAGGTTATTGCTTAAAGAAACATCTATGAAAAACAATATGTTCCATTTCTAACACCTTGTCAGTTTGCAATATCTCTTAAAGACAAAGTACACAGTTTAAGAAATACAACATTTCATTCTAAAACTTGTAATATTTGCATTTGCCCGTAACAGTAGCATGGTCTCTTATATGGCATTGTAGCTTCACAGAATAGGGGCAAAGGTATACAATGGGAGTATCATTGTACTCAGCAGATGTAGCTGAACACAATATGGGGTTCTGTAGCACACACTAGCTTTACGAAATACACATTGCAAAAACCTTGTTATATGTGTATATGCCAAAAGAGAGAAAAAACACAATTTTACTCAAATATTTAGCAGAGATTGGCGGTGAAATGGCTACGTAAAAAGTGTCAAAATAACCTTAGGTAACTAGCCTGTGCTTTCTACTTTATAAAAATATATACTTTTGTGTGGCAATTTTGTTTTCTGTAATGGGTATTAAACTTCCAAAACAAACATACCGACTTCTAAAATTGTTTCATATCAAAATTTTATTTTAGACCTTGTAGTTTGTGACCTGTAACTTTCAAAATAAACAGAAATCATACACATATTATGTGCTTTGTAAATCAAAACACATAAATTAATTGATTTTGAATCACTTTTCCTAAGCTGGACAAATTATGCACATGTTATAATTGCCAAAACAAAACAAAAAATTGTTTTTCCCCCCATTATTTTGCATTTTTTTGGTAATACATGAGAATTTATAAATGTATATGTCACATCAAATTAAAGCCCTTTTTTGTTGTCTAAAAAACAATATATATATAATATGTGTTGGTATAATAAATGAGAGAGATGCAAATTGCAGTTGAAATCAAACAGCAAAAAATGCAAAAAAAGCTTATGTCCTTAAGGGTATGTCCAGCTTCTGAAGCTGTGTCCTTAAGGGGTCATTATATATGCGTGATATCACAGTATATGACATGAAATTTAAAAAATACATATGGAAAGGGAAAAATGTGGTAAAGAAAAACAAAAAATCTACTTTCAGTTTGATTTTACTGTATTAAGCAAGCATGTCAAACTCAAACGCTAACACAGTCCAAATAAACAAGGTTTAAGTTGTGGGCCGGAAAAAAACAAAAACGTACATTTTCAGAGAAACTAAACCCCGAGCCCTGTTTAAAAAAATAAAATAAACAACCTTAGCCAACAAGCAGACTCCACTCACATTGCCGCTGCCAGTATGCAACTCCAGAGTCCAGCCTCTGGTATACCCCCAATGGTGTTGTCCGCACCCTGTGCCAAAGCGGATCCTCCTGCTACTCCTTAAAATCCTGTAAAGGGGGAGCAAGTTGGCATCACGTCGGAATGTGACGTGGCATTGCGTGCCTCCGTGCACCTCCAGGCCTTCTACTGTCCAGCCGCGGCAATCGCAACACTGACCAACACACACTCACTGACAGAAACACACTCACTAACAGACACACAGAATCATTGACAGACACACACAGACAGACACATATTTCACACACTCACAAATCATTCTATTTATTGCTCCCTACCTTTGGGAGCTGGTTTGGGGCCACCACTGGGATCCAGTGGGTATCTTCTCTCTGGAGATCCCCCTTCCTGCTACTCAGTGCTCTCTCACGTGCGCAGTTTAGTGATGCCGAGTTGGAATAACATCATATTGCCGCATCACTACAGAGGGGAGCAGTGAGAAGCAGGAAGAACAGACTGAGCTCCCTCGCTGCCGCCAGTGTCCTCTTCACCCGGCCGGCTAAATTTTAGCATAGTAGGCACCAGCAATGTGGGGAGAGCAGGTGCCTACTCTGTCTTAACAGTAAGCATGTCAAACTTGCGGCTCGCTGGGCTGCAAAGATATTCATTGTGGGCTGCATGCGGCCCATGTGCCACATGTTTGACATGCTTGGTATAGAGAGATTGCTCTGCAGTTTGGAGAGATTGGACTGCCCTTCTGAGTGCTCACTCAATGGACCCAGCAGCAGGCTGTCTGTGTCTCACACCTGTATGCATCAGACAATATATACAAATACACAGGTGGTTTATAAACTAAATACCAAATTGTATTTAATTACAATCCGAATTGCAAAATGTAGGTTCAAATAGCTAAGCTGTGCCTAGGCTGCATTGGAGAACTTTATCAAATCAATTATGTTTGTCTATCATTTAAAATACATTTTTCTATTCACTGCATTTCACAGTTAAATGAATAAACCTCTGCAGTTTATTTCCTACACTTAAGAATATAGTGTAGAGACCTGAAAACTAAACTACAAAGTTAAGGCCAAACTACAAAGTTAAAGTAGTAGATTTAGGAAAATTCCCCAGGCGCCATAGTCCCAGTATGGCTATTTATGGCTTCAATTGTGCGATTTATTTTTGATATTGCATTTAAGCATGTAGGGATGAAACTCATAAGGCGGGTTATAGGCACATAGACTACTGAAGCAATTCAGCTTATCAAAGTGCTGTGTGTGTCTGGAGTTCAGGGCCGTCTTTAATGCGGGGCAAACAGGGCAGCTGCCCCGGGCCCTGTCCCTGCTGGGGGGCCCAAGGTAACTGCCCTGTTTGCCCTCTGCCCGCAAACTATGGGGGCCCATTGGGTGGCCCATGCACTTAGGGCCACCCAGTGGGCCTGTGTCAGCAGGGGCCCGGTCGGGCGCTGTGGTGCTTTAACAGCGCGACCAGGCCCTTGCTTTTCGGCAGCACTGGGAGGAAGTGACAGCCGTGCGTCACTTCCTCCCACAGAAACAGGAGCCGCGCGGGAGGAAGGAGGACCAGCTGTTCCGGAGGGGGCCAGGCCGGGAGAGCTTAACTCCCAGTCACCCCAGCCAGCCCACTGAACCCCAGGGAAGCCACCCTCCAGAAAAAGGTAAGAAACTGGAGGGTGGTTATCAAATTTTGCATGAGTGTGTCAGTATATGTGTATGTCTGTTAGTGTATCTGTATGTCTGTGTGTGTGAGAGTCTGTCAGTGTCTGTGTGGTTCAGTATGTCTGTATGTGTGTTTCAGTATGTCTGTATATGTGTGTATGTCTGTCAATGTGTCAGTATGTCTGTGTGTGTGCATGTCTGTCAGTGTGTCAGTATGTCTGTGTGAGTCTGTCAATGTCTGTGTGGTTCAGTATGTATGTATGTATGTGTGTATGTGTGTTTCAGTATGGCTGTCTGTGTGTGTCAAAATGTCTGTATGTGTGTTTGTCTGTCAGTGTCTGTGTGTATGTGTGTTTCAGTATGTCTATCTGTCTGTCTGTCTGTGTGTATGTGTGCCAGTATGTCTGTCAGTGTGCCAGAAAATCTGTGTGTGTGTGTGTGTGTGTGTCTGTCATGTCTGTGTGGTTCAGTATGTATTTGTGTATGTGTGTTTCAGTATGGCTGTCTGTGCATGTCAAAATGTCTGTACGTGTGTATGTCTGTCAGTGTCTGTGTGTATGTGTGTTTCAGTATGTCTGTCTGTGTGTATGTGTGCCAGAATGTCTGTATGTCTGTCAGTATGTCTGTGTGAGTCTGTCAGTGTCCATGTGGTTCTTTATGTTTGTGTTTGTCAATATGTCTGTCAATGTCTGTGTGTATGTGTGTTTCAGTATGTCCGTCTGTCTGTGTGTATATGTGCCAGTATGTCTGTCAGTGTATCTGTATGTCAGTGTCTGTGTGGTTCAGTATGTCTTTGTGTATGTGTGTTTCAGTATGACTGTCTGTGTCAGTACGTCTGTCAGAATGTGTCTCTGTATCTGTATGTTTTCCGTTTGTGTGTGTATCTGTATGTGTCAGTGTTTGTATCTGTATATCTGCATGTGTTTTAGGTTGTGTATCTGTGTGTCTGGATGTGTGTCAGTGTGTGTGTGTATCTATATGTAGTCAATGGGTGTACCTTTGTATCTGCATGTATGTCAGTGTTTATATCTGTGTGTATGTCTATGTGTGTGTCAGTGTATCTATATGTAGTCTGTCTGTATCTGTATGTTCTTGTGTGTATCTACATGCGGTCAGTGTGTATCTGCATGTGTGTCAGGTAGTGTATTTGTGTGTATCTATATATAGTCAGGGGGCCCAAGTAAATGCTTGCCCAGGGTCCAATCAAAATTAAAGACGGCCCTGCTAGAGTTTGTCCTTTTTTTTTTTTAATAAAAACGTTTTTTAAAAGGGCACATTTCAGGGCAAAACTACTATTAAAAAAAACATAATTTCACATATCCAGCAGCAACTCAACCCCATTGATGCCCTTGATACCGGGGATATCATGGGGGAAAAGACCAAGTAGCTTAAAACCCTTTCAGGGGAGGGAAACCGGAGAATCGAAGACATCTTTCAGGCAACGCCTAGGCCAAAAATGGCAGCGCTGCCAGACCATCTCAGCTCATCCTCTGAGGAGGATTTAGTGGATGCACCCGATGCCAAACCTGGGGCTGAACAGCCTGTTATCTACTTACAGTTAGAGAACCGGGGGGCTCTGGCAACCAAAGGCGACATCATGAACCTCGTGGTTTTCCGTGCAGACCTGGCAGTGGTGCGGGAGGAGCTGACAGCCATTACTGATAGGGTGAAAGCAACAGAGCAGATCAGACACAGGACCATGCAGGTTAAATGATGCATGAAGGTGCCTCTAAAGTCCACCAAGGTGCAAGAAGCAGCCCCTACACTGTCTTACTCCATTTTCAGTTGTTCAGGGACAAGTTAGCTGTCGTAGAGACGCTTAAATCCAAGGTCCCTTTCAAATTTGAAGATATACAGCATACATTGCTGCAGGACTTTTTCAGGGCTACATTGGATTGCAGGTGCTATGTACATTGAGTCACGCAGACCCTCCGGGAGGTCGAAATCAGATACAGATGGGGCCCATCTTGTACCAAAGAAGGTACCATGTACCAGTTCACCACACCAGAGGACTCAGACTCCTTCGTCACTGATCTGGGTCTCGCCCAACCGAAGGCCATTAATCCCATTGCTAGCTGCTCCTGGGACTTTCTGAATATTGCTCCCTTTGTGCCTCGGGCCTTTGTGGACACCATCGTGATTTTCTTGGGCTTAGTTTAGCTACTTCTATTAGCTTGACACAGCAGAAACCCCTTCTCAATAAGCAGTATCACAGCTCATTGAGAAGCATTGGAAAGCTGCACTCATGTGCAACTGCATGCATGGATGCAGCAAAGAGGCTTCTCAGTGTAACATATTCATCCTCATCTTGCGGTCAGCGGCCATGCATCTCCATGGATGACACTTGCGGCATGTTAATGGACGCCGGCTGCTGCGGATTCAAGGCTAATTATGCCCCCACGCTCGCCCACGTAACTGACAACGTCGGTGCGCACGTGACGTTGCACCTGCACCGCACGCACGTTTTGGGGTCAAAGAGTGATCATGGCCAATCATAAGGGTAAAGCAGGTATAAAAGCCTAGAACTACCTTTCCTCATGAAACCCTGTCGTGGTTTCCCTAGTGGATGTCCGAGAGCGCGTTCCTTATTCTGGTTATTTGACTTTGGCATTGATATTGACTTCCCTGTCTTATGGTACTCCTGACCTCTGGCTTTCCTTTATCGTTGTGTCCCTTTCTGTGTCCCCTGACCTCGGCTATTCCTGACTATTCTTTGGTACGTTAGTCCGACCATTCTAAGGTCCGGTATACGTTACCTATTAGTCTCCTGTGTTACACAGTTCTACGTGCTGGATCATACTGTAATGCTGACAGGATTATAGATCCTGTAGAATTGTGTAAGCACATAGCTGCTTGCAAAAGGAAACTAGAGGAGAATGATCACCGAATGGATCAATTTGCCCAGGCCTTCAGTACGCTTCTTACCCGAACAGCGCATCTGCAACCTGCGGCCTCTCCTACTGTCTCACCTTCACCTTATTTACCTCCACCTATAGTACACAAGGCAACCACTATCTCTCTATCTCCTCCCCTGGATTTTGATGGTAATATTCAAGAATGCCAGGGATTCGTTAACCAAATAGAGTATTATTTTGAGGCCTCACCGGGATCTTTTCCCACTGAAAGAGCTAAAATTGGTTACCTGATGAACAAACTAAAAGGTAAAGCTTTAGCTTGGGCCAATCCGTTATTGGAGAGTAACAGGAGTGTGGCACACAATTACCAGGAATTCCTTATGGAATTTAAACTTAGGTTTGAACCATTAGGCCCTGATGCACATCAGACAAGGGAACCGGTCTATTTCAGAGTATGCCATAGAATTCCGTACCTTGGCTTCCGAGGTAGACTGGACTAACAGTGGGCTAATCTGTGCATTTAAAAAGGGACTATCTGAAAATATGCTAGATGAGATTGCTGCCAAAGATCTACCCAAGAAACTTAACGAATTTATTACATTTGTTAAGCAAATTGACAATAGACTAGGAACCAGAGAAGCTACTAGAAATAAGACCAGACGTATGACTATGACCTTTAGCACCCCGTTTCTTCAAACCTGTTGTTCCTGACCTTCCTATACAGTCCGAACTTGAACCCATGCAGTTGGGGGTCACTCGAATGTCGGAGGCCGAGAAACAATATAGGAGAAAAGAGGGTCTATGTCTATACTGCGGTAGTAAAGGACATATGAGAAACAATTGTCCCATTCGTCCGGAAAACTACCGCACCTAAGCGCCTTAAAGGGACAGGTCTTAGGTGTAATCGAGATGTCCTCTGAAAAGAATAAATATCGATTTCTCCTTGATATTTCGATTATCCTTGACAAAAAGAACTTTTCATGCAAAGCCCTGATGGACTCAGGGGCTACTGGAAATTTCATTGATGTCCAATTTGTTAAGGGTAATGCTATACCTGTCAAGGAGAGACTATCACCTCTAGCTGTAGAGTCTATAGATGGGAGACCACTCTCACAACCATTAATTACTCACAAAACTTTACCCATTAGTATGTCCATTGGAGCCTTGCATAAGGAAGATATAACGTTTTAGGTTATTGCATCTCCTTCCTGTCCTATCATATTAGGCTTTCCTTGGCTTAGTAAGCATAACTCATATTGATGATGGCTAATGGGGAAATATTGGAATGGGGTAAGGATTGTGAGGGAAGGTGTATAGTATATATAAAACTATTGAGTGGCTACTATTGAATTACCCGCTATTACTCCTCAAACTCCCGAAGTTCCCATACAATACCAGGACATTAAGGAAGTATTTAGCAAGACTCAGTCCAATGTATTGCCTCCCCACAGACCATATGACTGTTCCATAAACTTACTACACGGCGCTATGACACCTAAGGGAGCAGTTTATGCTCTATCCCCACAGGAAAGTAAAATAATGGAGGAATATATTAAGGACTGACTGAGTAAAGGCCATATACACAAATCATCCTTGCCTGCTCGTGCAGGGTTCTTTTTTGTGTCAAAAAAGGATGGTGAGGGGGCGGAGCCTAACCAGCGAGCTGGCAGGACGTGCACTGCTGGAGCTCCTGCAAACCAGGCACAAATCTTCAGATTTTTTGGGGGATGCTGAACCACAAACCTCCGACGGAATAGCCCACGGCACTGGGGAAACCTGCCGGAATCTAACGATGCCAAACGCGACACCCGGAGAGAACGGGCACCGCAATGACAAAATGCGGCCTACCACAGGAGGGGGCGAGGAAAGGCGGCCGCTTTCCCGCCGAGCACAAACAGCCAAAAGCGAGTATCACACACTCACCCCACCCTATGTACCGGTGGGGGATATCCCGGTCCCCCTCGGATGGAGAACCTCAAGCTCTACGCCCCCCGACTATGCCCACGATCTCCATAAGCAAAGTGGGAGCTGGGACCTCCAACATGGCAGATGCACTAGATCCAGAAACGAACGAGCAACCTAATCTCAGTCTTGGCGCAGGCACAAACAAGAGAGATTCAATCAATGTCATATTTGAAGAATTTTGGGCAAAACTACTGGCACGTTTACAGCCAAATGAGCCATATCACAAAGAGCCTGTGAATCACACGATGCAAGCAGAGGGGAGACCTGGGAAACCTCCTCAAGGAGTTTGGAAACAGCTAGCCACAACCCCCCGAATCCAGAGCCCTCCGGGGCAGAGAGCACCAGGGGTCGAACCCCATAGGGGCAAGCCACACCAGCGGAGGGCGGCAAAACGGAGACAGAAATCGAGGAACAAAACCCACCGCACCATCCCGATAGGGACGACCCTCGACCGTACAGGCACCCAGGCTCGAGGTATCAGGCCACCAGCTCTCACCAAGCACTGGGGCAGAAGGGCAAAAGCGGCCTACCGCAGACCCACACGACCCTCAGGAACACTGGACTCGGGTTCAACGTAACCTGGTGCACATGAGACGGCAAATACGACTCGCACCCAATACCAGCGCAAGTCCACACCAAGAAAAACCCAAAGGCTCCCAGCGGCCACACGGCCATACCTAGCCGAGGCATTGGCTAATCAGTGCAACATGTTCCTGAGCACGGTACCTCACCACGGTCATGTCAGACAAGTTTTGCAAACCTTATTGAAAAATCACCTGGGGGGCGTGGCCGGACGTCGAGCGCAATGGCAGCACACTGAGAGAGCTGCGATAGCACAAAAACTCGGTCCACAATGTCGGTACAACCCACAAAGAAAGCCGCAGAGGCTAAAGAAAAAGCGGCATTTTTTACGACCAGAACATCGCAAATGAAACAGGCCAACCACCAGGCCCAATATGGCGCCGATCAATGCTCAGATACGGAACAGCCCAGTGACGCGGGAAAACACACTGATATCCCGCTGACCCAGCAAATGCTACAGACCATGCTGGACACTGCAGTTTCTAAAATGCAGACCACGGTCACGACAGCGATAGCTGACATGAGAAAAGACCTCACGGAATTAGGCACTCAAACTTAGCACCTGGAAAATGAGGTAGAAGACCTGTGCACCGAAATGGGAGACCGCATATGCCGGCTGGAAGAGCAAATGTCAGCCCATGAGTCCAAGATCATAGACATGAAGGACAGGTCTCGCCAAAATAATATTCGCCCGAGAGGTGTGCCAGAAGAGGTGAACATGCAGGACCTGATAACCTATGCCACAGAAATTTTCCGGGCACTACTACCAGACATCCCAACCGATATCTTCCTACTTGACTGGATACACAAAGTACCAAAGCCACAACACCTACCCACCTCCACACCGAGAGATGTACTTATGAGATTGCATTTCTTCCACGGAGCAGATCCTGCGGGCCCACAGAAACAAAAAAGAACTACCCGGGAAATTTAAAGAGATCCTTATGTTCATGGACCTCTCTGTGGAAATGCTACGACGCAGACGACTATACAAAGAGATTGCAGAATCGCTCAGACAACACAACATCCCTTACCGCTGAGGTTATCCAAACTTCTCATCATGAAAGGAGGAAAACTCACCATAGCGACATCCCCAACAGAAGGAACAGAGCTGCTGAAAATATTCTATTGAAGTGAATATTCTATTCACGTACACAGTAGTGAACGCATACTTCCCCAATGAGAACCAGAACAATTACATGCACACACTTATGAACAAAGTGGCGAAACTCCAAACTGGCACCACAATCATCAGTGGAGACTTCAACCATGTCTTAGACCCCACTTCTGATTCCACAGCGCATCACTCAGC